CCAAATTACCGTTCCAGGCCTTTCGAGCAGCTAAGAGGCTTTTATCATCACACACTTCGGATCCATCTTGATGCCTACACTTTTCGCCTTTTTCTTTCTTTTCTATACTTAGAAAAGCCATCTTATCGGTTACACCAACCGGCTTCTTACTAGGACACGCATCAAGAGGCTTTACATCGTTACGGTCACGTACTCGTCCTTCATCAGCGTATGCTTTCGTGATATAATTGACAAATCTCTTATCTTCCGAGCGTGCTTTAGGTAGAAACGAAGAATCCGAATGTCTCACACGCAGACCACTAGTAGCTTCCATATTATTTCCTGTTTTAGCCTGATAAGCTAATCTTCCAAACCTACTACTAGCTATCTTAGCACGAGACATAATAAATTCCGTCAATTCGTTAAAATTGGGCTCTCTCTCCTCTTCGTCCCACTTGAATACTAGCTCTGCCCACTGGGCTTGCATTCGACGAGGTAAGAGCCTGACTATTCGTTCTAAAGTATCCATAGAGTTAAGTTCAGCTGTACAATTTAACTGTTCTAAAGTTAAAGAAGCATTCTGCATTTTAATGGCCAAGTTCGTCAATGATTCAGGATCATTAAATTCTACATTCCCAGTTCTAAATAAGTCCTCTAAGGTTTCTCGCGCTATCACATGTGACTGCCCAAAAAGCTGTTTTAAAATAACCTTAGCTCTCTTATATCCTGCCTGTGGGTCCATTATAAGACAGCCTTCGATCGCATTTTTAGCTTTTCCCTTACAATAATGAATTAAATACAATAAACGCACTTGATCATCCTTGATTCGAGGTTCTATAAACGTCTCTATCTGTCGTATGAACTTAAAATAGTCGCGAGACCTTCCATCAAAATATGAAAGTTCAACCTTAGGTAATTCTAAACCCTCTATCGATGACTTACAATAATAAATATCAGACATAACATGTGGGTTACCCATAAAAAGGTTATCGCTAACGACTTGCCTAGAGCCCTGTGATCCGTCGAGCTCTTCCACCGTCCTCCTGTTTGCCTTCTTCCTGCTTGACATTATAAATGGGATTCAATACGAAAGGTAACAGATACAAAATAGAATAGTTCCAAAATTCAGTTCAGAATTAAGATAAACGATTAAAAATTCCAAATGTTTCCTTGTAATTCTTAATAATCCAAATAGATCCAAATTATATGCGTTCTGGTAAATATTTCCAAGTATAATTCACGCCAGAAGGATAAACATCAGACTGTAGAATTTATTTCGCAGGCGGCTGTCCTAATCACGTCCAATAGAAACACACCGGTACGATACTCCTAGATCCCCGTCCCAGCCAAATCAGAAAGCCGAAAATTCTAGGAGAAAACCGTCTCTATTGTTATAAAATGGAAATACAGAGGCTTACGATGTTTATGTTTCTTCCAGGACTAAATTACTCCGTAGAGTATCTATTACAATAGCTAGTAAGTGACACTAAGTCTAGCAGCCACCGCGTCTATCCAAAAATGTGGCGGTAGCCATATTATATCAAATTTAAACAATATATGTACAGTTCAAAGGCAAACACAAAAACTTCAATATAAGTACAAAATATGGAAAGAATAACAACATACAATGGTAAAATCTCAAATTGGAATCAAATAAAATACCAAAAATGTCAAGAGAAAAAGTCCATCAGGTCATAGCAAAAATATGTAAACATGGAGGGATTTTCCCAAAAACAAAACATTCAAAAAGAATTCTACACTCTAGTCAAATTAGATGTTAGAGCCGGCTCACATTTGTGAGACGACAACAGAGCGAACAAAATAAGCGCACAATAATGACAGTAGATCTAGATCAACAACCCACAGCATAAGACACGAAGATCATGGCCTGGCCAATTGAATTCACTACATAAGCAGGAAACCTGCAATGGCCAGTTCCCACAGAACGTATTTGAAAATCCGACAGCGGCTCTTGCTACAGAGACAAACCGCCAAGCGCCTCTTCATTAAAGTAAGAGGATCAAGGTTTAGGCTGTCAGAGATCAGGAATATGTTATCTCAGATGGATCTGAAAATCATAAACCTAACTGAAACATGGCTAACGACGAATCGAGCTAATATCTCATGACACTCTTCTGATACGATAGGATACGCAAGACAGAAGGCGGAGTCGCTATATATATTTACAGCTATCTAAAAGCCGAAAGACTACACGAAGCCTAACTTACCTCAGTGACAAATCATGTTGGTGCTGCTTCAATAAAAATGGCACAAAATCCTTAATTGTAGGGATTTACCGGCCGCTTCAAGCTCTAAGGTCTAAAAGGATGGATTGACTGAGGCAATGCTGTGATTTCCAGTCCTTGGATTTGGTCAGTAATCTTAGCTGGAGATTTCAATACTCCAGCTCTCACTGGTTGGTTCGAAAGACGGCCGGACGTAGCCATTAAAATTTCCGGGTTGAATGAGTATGTATGCAGTGCCACTAAAAGTACTGAGGATGGAAAATCTTCAAACTTGGACTATTTGCTAACAAATGATCAGCTCCAGGTAGAAGATGTTCACATCCATACACCAGCAGGGAGCAGTGACCATGGCACAGTCCTGTTTAACATGGTTTTAAACGAAACACTCAAGCAGGAAAAAAACGAGCCCCGCCTTCGCTACACTACAGCAAATCACACCCGCATGAGAGAGAATCTTCTACATGCCGCATAGCGGAGGCTGACAGTAGATGATCACTGGCAAGCAGTAAGAGACACTATCCAGAATGTCAGACATTTTCAACACCAACTTCATCGGTCAGTAAAACCAAGTATCTACATGTTCAGAGCACTACTCAAACCCAGTACCAGCTGATGGCCTAGGGAATATTCAACTTACTCCTGACATAGAACTAAGGAAACTAGAATCCTTGGGCCCAGAAAAGTCACCAAGATGTGACGATATTCTAACTATAATCTGGAAACAGTGTGTAGAAGGCCTCAATACCGGCACATATTATCTTTTCTGACTTTGCAAAAGCCTCTGACATGCTACCCCACACAGTCCTAATTTCGAAGGTTGAGAAAATCGGCTTCACTGACCCACCTGTATCTTGGCTCGGAAAATACCCTGAGATTAGAAAGTTCAGTACCAAGGTAAATAGATTACACACGAGTTGGTGACTCTCAACATTGTGATTTTCACATGGGACCATCTTAGGTCCATTCTTCTTCCTGATACTCACAAATGATTTGTTAGACAAGATCAGCTCAGCGGGGTGGTCTACTCAGGCGATGCAAAGATCTGGAGGTCCATAAGAAGCGAAGAGTATTCAGTTAAGCTTCAAAACAAGACTTACACCCTCAACGGAAGTTTGCTACCAATGGTTCTTGACAACGTTATCTTTGTTTAATAACTACAAAAAGCCTAGACAACAGTTTGAACTGTATAGGGGACTCAGTCAAGGCTTTACGTGGAGACAACTTGGTGCCGTCAACCCTGAATTACTCCTAACTTTGCTTAAGATAGGCGCATACCCACACCTTGAGGTTCATAAGGTCGTCGCACCATCTCTACTTAAAAGAGGCATAAATCTTTGAATCGAGTGCAGAGACGAGCAACTAAATGGGTCACAGGATTGAAGAATAAACCTTATGAAGATAGACTTCAGCTCCTAGGATTAATCTCCCTAAGCTACAGGAGAAAGATAAGTGATCTGATAATGGTGAACAAAATAATAAGCACACCAAGTCATCTGAACATCAGCATCTTGCCGAAGCATCACCATATAAACTCCACAGGAACTTCCCGAGTACCTGGAGCTGTACTGAATTAACAAGCTAGAGCGAATAAATCGACTGGTTTATACTTACTGGTGTAAAAGATATTGCTTATTGGATGGCGGGAATAAGCAATTCGACGCCACTTTTAGTCACACCGTACTTTTGAAATCCGACTTACGTTTGGAATGTAAGTAGTTTTGTGTGTTCCGAATGGAGGCTGGGTTATGCTTGTTTTTATTATGCTATCTGTATTTCAGACCACTCCGCACTACAGTTGCTGATCGATAACTTACCGGCTACAGCGAACCGAGCATCCTTCTGTGTTGTAATCATGGAGCCTTTATTTTCCTGCACAAAATGCCTGCACAATTTTCCTCAGTCTGAAATGTCTAGGTCTGGACAAACATGCAAAGTACCTATATTTCACTATTAATTCTAGTATCATTAAATTAAGGGGTGTAGTCCTCACCACTCTACATTTAAACAATGTGAATATTGCAAATCTGACTTCAAATACCATTAGTAAGTTGTCAAAATCACAGTTACTTTGCACCTCCCTAGTCCTGGTGGTATTTGCCCTCATTGTCAATCTATGAAAAACAAATATGGTGAACCCCAATCTTGTTCCATATGCAAATTAAGAACCGCTTTTGGCAGCGCTTTGGTTTGCCAGAGGTGCTTACATTACAGAAACAGATTTGGTGAACCACGACAGTGTAATTCTTGTGGAAATATATGTGCCTTTCTAAAAGATGAGGTAAGGATTTGTCTTAACGTTTCTCTTCACCATTTAGCAACATAAAGTTAATGCAGACTGGATGACCACAGGTACATGTCCAAATGACTTTAGACAAAATATAGGATTTCTTCATGTTTCAAATTCCTGTATCTAGTTGCGGTGGATAACAAATACGTAGGTATATTTAACAATCAGGAAGCGTTGAGTTATCAAAGAGAGGGGTTTTATGACGAAGTAAGCTTTTTCGATTAGAGACAATGAGTGCGGTTTCTTATGACTTGAGGTTGCTTGTAACTTTTATAAAACAGGCTAAGATAGGTAAGCTTCCCAGTCTACCTACTGTAGATTGTCCTTTGAATTTGACTCAACCAACCGTTTGAAATTCTAACGCCTGTTGTCAGCAAGATGTTTTATCTGTTTTGCTAACAAAATTAAAAGGTATGATGGCGTAATCGCTTCATTACATTTGTTTTATCCACCAACTACGTTGCTTAATTTCAATGTTATTGGAGAACTAGGTATTACATCTCCGATTATTTACATGTGAGAATATCTTCAGTATTTGTTAAAGATAATTATTATTAGATTTTACATGCTCTCAACAACCACTGGTAATGATTATACAAGATATTACCATATTCAACCGCTCCCGCGTAAGTTTCGTAATTAAGTTTTATACTATGCTAACTAAACTCTATTCAATCACCAGTGCTTGATTACGCAATTGTATGCTATAGTATAGTAACTTACCATAAAACTACTCATGCATTTTACAGCATCAGTAAACATAGCCTTTAACTGTAGTTCTAGTTGGATATCCCCTAAAAGACTGATGGTTTGAAATGCTATTCTACCTAACAGTGACAGTTCGGAAGCAAAGGAAATGATGAATATTAGACGTGAAACATAACCTGTATCTATAATTTTTATTTGATAAAGTAGTTCGCGGATCATTGTCTGTCATTGTAATTCATCTGCTAATAAGTTTATACTCTTCATTTCTGTGCAAAATTTCGACAGTGAAAATAATTTTGTGAGTGGTCAGTCAATTCGCATACACATGTTTCACTTAGATTTTGCACTGGAAACTTTTTATTGCATTTGAACAATTTAGCTATTTAGAAAAGTACTTTTTCCACAAAAAGCATTGACATATTTGTTTTTGTATGTAAAATAGCTTGTTTTGGTAAATATAAACCATATCTGAGTGATAAATTTTATATACAGTCAGTCAGTCAGATGCAACGTAGAACTTCGTACGTAAGTACATCAGTTCATGTCGCCATACCACATCAGCACAGAGATATAATTGTCAATTCAAATCCAATAGTAGAAGAGGTAGTAAAGGTATTAGAAGTAATCGTAGACGTTAGAATTAGAAGATATTATTCACGAAGTGTGATTCAATGAGATAAGTTTAGAAAGTAAAAGCTAGAGGTGTTGAGGAACTCAGAAGATTAGGATTTGAGAGAACACAAAGAGTAAATGCACCGGCGCCATTGCGAACGATTTTGAGCCATGTCATTCAAGGTCTCTAACCATCGATTATTATCATCTCGTGGACCCCAGCCAGGTAGTCGACAACTACCGACATCGCTAAGTCCACTCGTCAATGACTTCATGGATTTCTGCCATGTTTTGGTTTGCCCGCCCCTAACTTTCTTCCAACCTACTCCTACACTACAAAATAAAGCTCTTCGAGGCAGCCGGTGGTTAGGCATTCGTAACACATCTCCCAACCACCTCAACTGATGAAGTGTCACTACTGCGTCCATTGATCTGCCATTCTTACCTAGCACCCGTGTCCTAATAACAGCATTGCTTACTCAGTTGTCCCACGATATACGAGCAATGCTTCGAAGACACCGACGATCAAAAACTAGTAACCTACGAATATCTTCTACTCTCATTGGCCATGTTTCACAGCCATAAAGAAAGTCGGAGCGAACCACTGCACAGTACACTCGTCCTTTAGTCAGCAAACGGATATCTCGCCTTCGCCACCTGCGTCACTTATGGCGAAGGCGAGAAATTTTTTTTATATACTCATATTCAGTATGTGACACATATAATTTTGCGTGCTCTTGTACGAATGTTTATATTTAAATGAATATAAAAAAAATAAAATTCAGAGTGTTGGTAGCTAATTTATACAGTCTATTAGTTATTTAATGTTCCGAGATTCTCTAAAGTATTGAACCAATTTTCAAATGAGTGTATTTTGTTCATATTTACATGTATAGGCTAGTCGAGAAAAAGTTGATGGACAAATTCTTTGTTGGGTGTGTACATACAATTTTAAATTAGCACGATCTAAAGAACGCTCCAGTCATGGACTCAACAAACGCCGACATGATAGTAATCCTATTTCAACTGAAAATCGTTCCAAACCAAGTCATGAGTAAGTAAGCTAACCACTTTTTGACACGATTTGAATAAAATTCTAGATCTCAGACTCCTGGTCGATTTCAGTATTATTTTACAGATCGCTAAACACCGGATAGCTAGATAATTTCGATCTCAAGCTCTCATGAAAGCCAGTTAACAATATGTAGCAGTCAATGTTTTCTTGTGTTCTATTTTCACCAATAATTTATCGTATCCTATGACTAATTGCATAAATAACTGTCGAAGTTAGGAAATTAAGCTTAACAAAACGGAATAGATAGTATTTTTTTTAGAATCCCAATGATTTTCGTTTATTACACTTGTGCTCAGATACCTACTTTCTGACCTGACAACTAAAATCATATCGACTGTAGATACATTGACCACAATTAAAGTTGATTAGATAAATATTGTTCCGTTGTTCTAGAATATTTAAGCTTTGATTATGTTTCGGTTCATATAGATAAATGTTTATCAATGATTTATTCAACACAGAAACCCTTAAACAAAGTTTTATTTAGAAAGGGTTGTATTAGGTGAATAGGTTAACAAAACGCAGACATTCATATCATTTATGTGACCAGGCAGGGGATTTCCAAGGTATTTCTCATCTACTGTGTGTAGAGTATTTTCTGAAAAAAATACTCTGTATTATCAACGCTTAGTTTAACAGTACAATAAAATCAAAGCACTCAGTCATTTCAGTGATCACTTCACTTTGAAAGGCAAATTAACTTTGGTAAGTTGATGGTAGATGATATCAGGGCAAAAACAAATACTCCTACCTTTATTTCAAACAAGAGAGATAATTAAATTCCCAGTATAAGACAGATATATTATGAAGTCCATCGCACAGTGTTCGGTGATGTTTTTTTATCTACGGCAGATGTCTGTAAGCTACAAATATTCACAATTGTCTCCGAAACAGTATCCCCTCTTCATAGAGCATCAAAGTGTTCGATACATGTATTATGTAACTATTTAGTGTGGCCTATTTTGCCAGCTAAAATAAAAATGGATTAAAGACTGATGCTGCTCAGGTACGAACAGCTTCTGTCAATAAAATCACTAAAGGAACTTTGGATTCGATAGTGAGTTTTTTACATTTATTGTGTATGAGTTCCATTTGGTAAAGTTGTGTCATTTAGCGTCTCTATATATATTTCAAATTGTTTGATTGATAACCACCTACGAAAGTTTAAAGAAATAATGAGCCTTATTAATTCTTTAGAATGAAAAGATTAAATTCCTATTGCCTATATTTCGTTTTTCTAAACAAAGAAAAAAGGTATATCCATACAAAAATTTTCTGAATTTCAGCTCTCTTAAAAAAACCTGTACCGGTGAGTATGGAGCAAGGAAAATTGACACTCAGGCATTAACTACTCAAGCACTAAGGTAAGTAATACCGTTCGTTATTCAACAGAATTTATGTGTACAGCCAAGTAATTGTGTGACCATTTGGAATGCTGATGATTTATAAGTTTTTCAAAAGAACTCAGTGATTCTCTATTTAAATGTCAATACTGTCAGACTCACTTGAACAACTCATCTAGCATCTCAGAATATTTATATATATATATATATATATATATATATATGAAAACAAGTAGTCAGTCAGTTGCAACGTAGAACTTCGTACGTATGTACATCAGTTCATGTTGCCATACCACATAAGCACAGAGACGCAAATGTCAAATCAAATCTTATAGTGTTAAAGATAGTAGAGGTATTAATGATAATGAAGAAGACTAGGGTTCAAAGATATTATTCATGAAGTATAATTCAGTGAGATAAGGTTAGAAAGACAAAGGTAGAGGTGCTGACGATTTTAAGCCATTTCGTTCAAGGTCTCTAACCACCGGTGACTATCATCTCGCGGACCCCAAACAAGTAATCGACACCTATCGGCATGACTCAGTCCACTTGTCAGTGACTTCATGGATTTCTGCCATGTTTTGGTGTGGCCGCCCCTACCTTTCTTCCAACCTAATCCTACACCACAAAACATAGCTCGTCGAGGCAGTCAGTGGTTAGCCATAAGTAACACATGTCCCAACCACCTCAACTGATGAAGTTTCACCACTTCATCTATTGATCTGCCATCCTTACCTAGTACTCGTTTCCTAACGACAACATTGCTTACTCGGTTTTCCCAGGATATACAAGCAATGCTTCTTAAACATCTATGATCGAATACTAGTAACCTACGGACATCTTCTACTTATAAGGGCCATGTTTCACAGCCATATAGGAGAACGGAGCGAACTGCTGCGCAGTACACCCGTCCTTTAGTCAGCGGACGGATATCTCGCCTACGCCATAAGTGACGTAGTTTGGCAAAAGCCAATCGAGCCTTCTGTATCCGTGCTGAGATTTCGTCAGTCACCAGGCTATCAGCGCTGATGAGACTCCCATGAAAACAAATTAATAAGTAGTTGTGCGACAAATAACTGTTTAGTTTATGGTAAACTCGTTTCGAAGGTAGTCGAATCAACAGGAATAGCAACAATCAAATCTCAACATATGATGCTGGCTTAAAATGATGGGTGAATGGACAGATAAAAAAATCGAGAAAGTAGTTTACAATTTTATCAACGAAATACGAGACAATGAAATCCAACTACTCATAAGTAATATATAAGAATACTCATCAATTTTTGAACGGGATAATTTGGTTTAAAATTGGGCACTGAATATATATATAAAGGACATTATTAGTGTGAAAATTATATCTAAAATAACCTTGGCTATTGAAATTTTTTAATAATTCCAATCTGTTTGCTCCAGTTATATTTTCTGAACTTCTTCGGGCTAATAACAATCAAAATTGTCAAAGATTACATGACCTATTAGGAACACGAATGTGAGCGAAATTATCTTGGAAAAGGATGGTCTTATTGTTCATTCTCAATCCAGGAGATTGGATCGTTTGGCAGAACTCTTTCAGGATCAGTTCAACTGGCTTTCAGCCACACTTCAGTTACCCACGATCTCCAGTCATCCTGAGTGAGAAACCAGCATAAGTCCTCCGAATCTTTGTGAAGTTGAGAAAGCGATAGGAAATCTAAAGCGAGGGAGAGTGGAGGGTCCCGATAGATTGACTGCCAAGATTTTTAAGGATGGTGGTCCAATTTTAACATTTAGATTAACTGAGATCTTAGGTAGATTCTGGGAACTGAGCGTAACCCCATCCAACTGGTCTCAATCCCTGATTGTCCCAATTTATAAGAAAGGACAAAAGTCTTCTTGTGACAATCACTGGGGAATAAGTCCAACTAATATAGTTTCTAAATTGTTAGCCTCGATAATCCGTAGACGCCTAACTAGAGCCCGTGAAGAGCAGACTAGAGGAAACCAGTCTGGTTTCAGATGTGGACGTGACTGTGTAGACCACGTTTTCACTCTACGACAGGTCTTTGAACACAGACACACATTTAGGCGTCCGACAATAGTTGTCTTCCTGGACCTTAAGGCGGCATTCGACTCTGTGGATCGTGAGGTTCTGTGGCAGTGTCTGTCATTGAAAGGTGTACCGAAGAAGTATATTAACCTCATACAAGCTCTCTACTCGAACACCACTGGTCGAGTGAGAGCTTATAACGAAGTGTCACAGGAATTCTCTACTTCAAGTTGTGTTCGTCAGGGCTGTCCACTCTCTCCATTCTTGTTTAACTTTGTCGTAGATGTGCTTTCAGAGTTAAGACTATCATCGTCTGTCTTTTCAGGAGTGCACCTTTTACCAGGAGACACGCTTACTGACTTAGAATACGCCGATGACATAGCTCTGTTTGGTGAATACGCTGACAAAATGCAGAGTCTTCTGACTACCCTAATCAACAATGCTAGCATGTTCGGGATGCGGTTTCCCCCCTCAAAATGCAAAATGTTGCTTCAGGATTGGGTTGCATCGGCACCTGAACTAGTAATAGGGAGTGAAGTAGTCGAGCGTGTAAACCGCTTCACTTATCTGGGAAGTCGCATCACGGCTGATGGCCTGGTGACTGAAGAAATCTCAGCACGGATACAGAAGGCTCGATTGGATTTTGCCAACCTGCGTCACTTATGGCGTAGGCGAGATATCCGTTCGCTAACCAAAGGACGAGTGTACTGTGCAGCAGTTCGCTCCGTCCTACTGCACGGATGCGAAACATGGCCGTTAAGAGTAGAGGACTTTCGTAGGTTACTAGTCTTCAATTACAGGTGTATCCGAAGCATTGCTCGTGTATCCTGGGACGACCGAGTAAGCAATGCTGTCGTTAGGAAACGAGTTCTAGGTAGGGATGGCAAATAAATAGAGGGGGTAGTGAAACTTCACCACTTGAGGTGGTTGGGACATGTACTGCGTATGCCTAACAACCGACTGCCGCAACGAGCTCTGCCTTGTGGTTTAGGAGTAGGTTGGAAGAAAGCTAGGGGCGGCCAAACCAAAACATGACACAAATTCATGAAGTCACTGACAAGTGGACTGAGTCATTTAGGTAGGTGTCGACTACCTTGTTGGGGTCCAGTCAGTCAGTCAGTCAGTTGCAACGTAGAACTTCGTACGTAAGTACATCAGTTCATGTCGCCATACCACATCAGCACAGAGATATAATTGTCAATTCAAATCCAATAGTAGAAGAGGTAGTAAAGGTATTAGAAGTAATCGTAGACGTTAGAATTAGAAGATATTATTCACGAAGTGTGATTCAATGAGATAAGTTTAGAAAGTAAAAGCTAGAGGTGTTGAGGAACTCAGAAGATTAGGATTTTAGAGAACACAAAGAATAAATGCACTGGCGCCATTGTAAATGGTTTTGAGCCATGTCATTCAAGGTCTCCAACCATCGATTATTATCATCTCGCGGACCCCAACCAGGTAGTCGACAATTACCGACATGGCTAAGTCCACTCGTCAATAACTTCATGGATTTATGCCATGTTTTGGTTTGACCGCCCCTAGCTTTCTTCCAACCTATTCCTGCACCACAAAACAAAGCTCGACGAGGCAGTCGGTGGTTAGGCATACGCAACACGTGTCCCAACCACCTCAACCAATGAAATTTCACCACTTCATCGATTGATCTGCCATTCTTACCTAGTACCCGTTTCCTAATAACAGCGTTGCTAACTCGGGTGTCCCACGATATACGAGCAATGCTTCGAAGACACCTATGATCGAAAACCAATAACCGACGAGTATCTTCTACTCTCATTGGCCATGTTTCACAGCCATAAAGTAAGACAGAGCGAACCACTGCGCAGTACACTCGTCCTTTAGTCAGCAAACGGATATCTCGCCTACGCCATAAGTGACGCAGGTTGGCAAAAGCCGATCGAGCCTTCTGTATCCGAGCTGAGATTTCGTCAGTCACCAGGCCATCAGCACTGATGAGACTCCCAAGATAGGTGAAGCGGTCTACACGTTCGACCACTTCACTCCCTATCACTAGTTCAGGTGCCGATGACACCCAATCTTGAAGTAACATTTTGCATTTCGACGGGGAAAACCGCATCCCGAACATGCTTGCATTGTTGCTTAGGGTAGTCAGAAGACTCTGCATTTTTTCAGCGTCTTCACCAAGTAGGACAATGTCATCGGCATATTCTAAGTCAATAAGCGAGCCACCTGGTAGAAGGTCTACTCCTGAAAATTCAGACGAGGATAAGGTAAGTTCTAGGAGCATGTCTATGATAAAATTAAACAAGAATGGAGAAAGTGGACATCCCTGACGGACACCACTTGTTGTAGAAAATTCCGGTGACAGTTCGCCATAAGCCCTCACTCGACCAGTGGTGTTCGAGTATAGGGCTTGTATAAGGTTAATGTACTTCTGTGGTACACCTTTCAATGACAGACACTGCCACAGAACCTCACGATCCACTGAGTCAAATGCCGCCTTAAGGTCCAGGAAAACAACTATTGTAGGACGCCTAAATGTGTGTCTGTGTTCCAGGACCTGTCGTAGTGTGAAAATGTGGTCTATACAGCCACGTCCAGATCGAAAACCAGATTGGTTTTCCCGAGTTTGCTCTTCACGAGCTTTCGTTAAGCGTCGAAGTATTATTGAGGCCAATATTTTAGATACTATGTTAGTTAGGCTTATTCCCCTGTGATTGTCACAAGAAGACTTCTGTCCTTTCTTATGGATTGGGACAATCAGTGATTGAGACCAGTCGGATGGGATTGCGTCCAGTTCCCAGATTCTACCTAAGATCTCAGTCAACCTAGCTGATAAAACTGGACCACCATCCTTAAATATCTCAGGGGTCAGTCTATCAGGACCTGCAGCTCGTCCTCGTTTCAGATTTCCTAACGCTTTCTCAACTTCATTAAGACTAGGGGGACTTAGGTCGATTTGCCATTCAGGATGACTGGAGATCGTGGGTAACCGAAGAGTGGCTCGTGGCCAGTT